TGTGAGTGGTAGGGGTAGAAGCAGTGTGAGTGGTAGGGGAAGAGGCAGTGTGAGTGGTAGGGGCAGTGTGAGCGTGAGTGGTAGGGGTAGAGGCAGTTTGATTGCTATGGGTAGAGGCAGTGTTAGTGGTAGGGGTTTAGCCGGTGTGAGTGGTAGGGGTAGAGGCAGTGTGAGTGGCAGGAGTAGAGGCAGTGTGAGTGGTAGGGGTAGAGGCAGTGTGATTGGTAGGGGTAGGGGCAGCGTGAGTGGTAGGGGTAGAGGCAGTGTGAGTGGTAGGGGTAGAGGCAGTGTGAGTGGTAGGGGAAGAGGCAGTGTGAGTGGTAGGGGCAGTGTGCGAAGTAGGGGTAGAGACAGTGTGAGTGGTAGGGGTAGAGGCAGTGTGAGTGGTAGGGGTAGAGACAGTGTGAGTGGTAGGGGTAGAGGCAGTGTGAGTGGTAGGGGTAGAGGCAGTGTGAGTGGTAGGGGTAGAGGCAGTGTGAGTGGTAGGGGTAGAGGCAGTGTGAATGGTAGGGGTAGAGGCAATGTGAGTGGTAGGGGTAGAGACAGTGTGAATGGTAGGGGTAGAGACAGTGTGAGTGGAAGGGGTAGAGACAGTGTGAGTGGTAGGGGTAGAGGCAGTGTGAATGGTAGGGGTAGAGGCAGTGTGAGTGGTAGGGGTAGAGACAGTGTGAGTGGTAGGGGTAGAGGCAGTGTGAGTGGTAGGGGCAGTGTGTGTGGTAGGGGTAGGGGTAGAGGCAGTGTGTGTGGTAGGGGTAGGGGTAGAGGCAGTGTGAGTGGTAGGGGTAGAGGCAGTGTGAGTGGTAGAGGCAGTGTGAGTGGTAGGGGTAGAGGTAGTGTGAGTGGTAGGGGTAGAGGCAGTGTGAGTGGTAGGGGTAGAGGCAATGTGAGTGGTAGGGGTAGAGGCAGTGTGAGGGTAGGTGTAGGGGCAGTGTGTGTGGTAGGGGTAGGGGTAGAGGCAGTGTGTGTGGTAGGGGTAGGGGTAGAGGCAGTGTGAGTGGTAGGGGTAGTGTGAGTGGTAGGGGTAGAGGCGGTGTGAGTGGTAGGGGTAGAGGCGGTGTGAGTGGTAGCGGTAGTGTGAGTGGTATAGGTAGGGGCAGTGTGAGTCTGAGTGGTAGAGGCAGTTTGATTGCTATGGGTAGAGGCAGTGTGAGTGGTAGGGGTTTAGCCGGTGTGAGTGGTAGGGGTAGAGGCAGTGTGAGTGGTAGGAGTAGAGGCAGTGTGATTGGTAGGGGTAGGGGCAGCGTGAGTGGTAGGGGTAGAGGCAGTGTGAGTGGTAGGGGTAGAGGCAGTGTGAGTGGTAGGGGAAGAGGCAGTGTGAGTGGTAGGGGCAGTGTGCGTGGTAGGGGTAGAGACTGTGAGTGGTAGGGGTAGAGGCAGTGTGAGTGGTAGGGGTAGAGGCAGTGTGAGTGGTAGGGGTAGAGGCAGTGTGAGTGGTACGGGGAGGGGCAGTGTGAGTGGTAGGGGTAGTGTGAGTGGTAGGGGAAGAGGCAGTGTGAGTGGAAGGGGTAGTGGCAGTGTGCGTGGTAGGGGTAGTGTGAGTGGTAGGGGTAGTGGCAGTGTGAGTGGTAGGGGTAGTGGCAGTGTGCGTGGTAGGGGTAGTGTGAGTGGTAGGGGTAGAGGCTGTGTGAGTGGTAGGGGTAGAGGCGGTGTGAGTGGTAGGGGTAGTGGCAGTGTGCGTGGTAGTGGCAGTGTGAGTGGTAGGGGTAGTGGCAGTGTGAGTGGTAGGGGTAGTGGCAGTGTGCGTGGTAGGGGTAGTGTGAGTCGTAGGGCTAGAGGCAGTGTGAGTGGTAGGGGTAGAGGCAGTGTGAGAGGTAGGGGTAGAGGCAGTGTGAGTGGTAGGGGTAGAGGCAGTGTGAGTGGTAGGGGTAGATGCAGTGTGAGTGGAAGGGGTAGATGCAGTGTGAGTGGAAGGGGAAGAAGCAGTGTGTGTGGTAGAGGTTTAGGCAGTGTGAGTGGTAGGGGTAGAGGCAGTGTGAGTGGTAGGGGTAGTGGCAGTGTGAGTGGTAGGGGTAGAGGCGGTGTGAGTGGTAGGGGTAGTGTGAGTGGTAGGGGTAGTGGCAGTGTGAGTGGTAGGGGTAGTGTGAGTGGTAGGGGCAGTGTGAGTGGTAGGGGTAGAGACAGTGTGAGTGGTAGGGGTAGAGGCAGTGTGAGTGGTAGGGGCAGTGTGAGTGGTAGGGGTAGAGACAGTGTGAGTGGAAGGGGTAGAGGCAGTGTGAATGGTAGGGGTAGAGGCAGTGTGAGTGGTAGGGGTAGAGGCAGTGTGAGTGGTAGGGGTAGAGACAGTGTGAGTGGTAGGGGTAGAGGCAGTGTGAGTGGTAGGGGCAGTGTGTGTGGTAGGGGTAGGGGTAGAGGCAGTGTGTGTGGTAGGGGTAGGGGTAGAGGCAGTGTGAGTGGTAGGGGTAGAGGCAGTGTGAGTGGTAGAGGCAGTGTGAGTGGTAGGGGTAGAGGTAGTGTGAGTGGTAGGGGTAGAGGCAGTGTGAGTGGTAGGGGTAGAGGCAATGTGAGTGGTAGGGGTAGAGGCAGTGTGAGGGTAGGGGTAGGGGCAGTGTGTGTGGTAGGGGTAGGGGTAGAGGCAGTGTGTGTGGTAGGGGTAGGGGTAGAGGCAGTGTGAGTGGTAGGGGTAGTGTGAGTGGTAGGGGTAGAGGCGGTGTGAGTGGTAGGGGTAGAGGCGGTGTGAGTGGTAGCGGTAGTGTGAGTGGTATAGGTAGGGGCAGTGTGAGTCTGAGTGGTAGAGGCAGTTTGATTGCTATGGGTAGAGGCAGTGTGAGTGGTAGGGGTTTAGCCGGTGTGAGTGGTAGGGGTAGAGGCAGTGTGAGTGGTAGGAGTAGAGGCAGTGTGATTGGTAGGGGTAGGGGCAGCGTGAGTGGTAGGGGTAGAGGCAGTGTGAGTGGTAGGGGTAGAGGCAGTGTGAGTGGTAGGGGAAGAGGCAGTGTGAGTGGTAGGGGCAGTGTGCGTGGTAGGGGTAGAGACTGTGAGTGGTAGGGGTAGAGGCAGTGTGAGTGGTAGGGGTAGAGGCAGTGTGAGTGGTACGGGGAGGGGCAGTGTGAGTGGTAGGGGTAGTGTGAGTGGTAGGGGAAGAGGCAGTGTGAGTGGAAGGGGTAGTGGCAGTGTGCGTGGTAGGGGTAGTGTGAGTGGTAGGGGTAGTGGCAGTGTGAGTGGTAGGGGTAGTGGCAGTGTGCGTGGTAGGGGTAGTGTGAGTGGTAGGGGTAGAGGCGGTGTGAGTGGTAGGGGTAGAGGCGGTGTGAGTGGTAGGGGTAGAGGCGGTGTGAGTGGTAGGGGTAGAGGCAGTGTGAGTGGTAGGGGAAGAGGCAGTGTGAATGGTAGGGGCAGTGTGAGTGGTAGGGGTTTAGGCAGTGTGAGTGGTAGGGGTAGAGGCAGTGTGAGTGGTAGGGGTAGAGGCGGTGTGAGTGGTAGGGGTAGAGGCAGTGTGCGTGGTAGGGGTAAAAGCAGTGTGAGTGGTAGGGGTTTAGGCAGTGTGAGTGGTAGGGGTAGAGGCAGTGTGAGTGGTAGGGGTAGAGGCAGTGTGAGTGGTAGGGGTAGATGCAGTGTGAGTGGTAGGGGTAGAGGCAGTGTGAGTGGAAGGGGTAGTGGCAGTGTGAGTGGTAGGGGTAGAGGCGGTGTGAGTGGTAGGGGTAGAGGCAGTGGGAGTGGTAGGGGTAGTGTGAGTGGTAGGGGTAGTGGCAGTGTGAGTGGTAGGGGTAGTGGCAGTGTGAGTGGTATGGGTAGTGTGAGTGGTAGGGGTAGAGGCAGTGTGAGTGGTAGGGGTAGAGGCATTGTGAGTGGTAGGGGTAGTGGCAGTGTGAGTGGTAGGGGTAGAGACAGTGTGAGTGTTAGGGGTAGAGACAGTGTGAGTGGTAGTGGTAGAGGAAGTGTGAGTGGTAGGGGTAGAGGCAGTGTGAGTGGTAGGGGTAGAGGCAGTGTGAGTGGTAGGGGTAGTGGCAGTGTGAGTGGTAGGGGTAGTGTGAGTGGTAGGGGTAGAGGCAGTGTGAGTGGTAGGGGTAGTGGCAGTGTAAGTGGTAGAGGCAGTGTGAGTGGTAGTGGTAGAAGCAGTGTGAGTGGTAGAGGCAGTGGTAGGGGTAGAGGCAGTGTGAGTGGTAGGGGTAGAGACAGTGTGAGTGGTAGGGGTAGAGGCAGTGTGAGTGGTAGAGGTAGAGGCAGTGTGAGCGGTAGGGGTAGAAGCAGTGTGAGTGGTAGGGGTAGAGGCGGTGTGAGTGGTAGGGGCAGTGTGGGTGGTAGGGGTAGAAACAGTGTGAGTGGTAGGGGTAGAGGCAGTGTGAGTGGTAGGGGTAGAGGCAGTGTGAGTGGTAGGGGTAGAGGCAGTGTGAGTGGTAGGGGTAGAGGCAGTGAGTGGTAGCGTTAGAGGCAGTATGAGTGGTAGGGGTAGAGGCAGTGTGAGTGGTAGGGGTAGGTGCAGTATGAGTGGTAGGGGTAGGTGCAGTGTGAGTGGTAGGGGTAGTGTGAGTGGTAGAGGTAGAGGCGGTGTGAGTGGTAGGGGTAGAGGCAGTGTGAGTGGTAGGGGTAGAGGCAGTGTGAGTGGTAGGGGTAGAGGCATTGTGAGTGGTAGGGGTTTAGGCAGCGTAAATGGTAGGGGTAGTGTGAGTGGTAGGGGTAGAGGCAGTGTGAGTGGTAGGGGTAGAGGCAGTGTGAGTGGTAGGGGTAGTGGCAGGGTGAGTGGTAGGAGTAGAGGCAGTGTGAGTGGTAGGGGTAGAGGCAGTGTGAGTGGTAGGGGTAGAGGCAGTGTGAGTGGTAGGGGTAGTGGCAGGGTGATTGGTAGGAGTAGAGGCGGTGTGAGTGGTAGGGGTAGAGGCGGTGTGAGTGGTAGGGGTAGAGGCAGTGTGAGTGGTAGGGTTAGTGGCAGTGTGAGTGGTAGGGGTAGAGGCAGTGTGAGTGGTAGGGGTAGAGGCAGTGTGAGTGGTAGGGGTAGAGGCAGTGTGAGTGGTAGGGGTAGAGGTGGCGTGAGTGGTAGGGGTTGTATCTCTAATAGGCGGTGTAAATCTTACCCCGTATGTATCCATATACAGCCAAGGTGCTGCTAAACGTTACCATAGCAACCATGTCTCCTGGTCACGTGACTCCTGCACACGAAACGAACATCGTCGCCGTCGTCATTCGGGGCCGCCCATAAATGACGTCACGTGATTTTGGACGATTTCATTGCCAGAAGGGGCAAAGCCTATTCTCATATTTTGATACTGGCAAGGGAAGCCCCATGATGATCGCTCTGATAGTCTTAGCTGACGCTTTGTCTTTGAAACCGATTGGCCTACACCAGGGGCAGCAGCAGCAGCAGCAGCCTTTATTGTGGCTCAGTCCCACCAGCAGTGTCAGATCAGAGAACAACGCCAACAATGTGAACAGTACCAGGACAATGCCAGAGCGTTTAAAGCTTTGGGGCGAGCAGCGGCCGTACCGTGTTGGGAGGCATGCTTGGCAGCATCACAGTGTAAGCGATACAGCGCCGGCTGCTGTACGGCAGCTGAAGCTGCGCGTGGGCACTTGGCGCTGAGCGTGCACGCGGGGCGGAGGAACCGGGGCGAGGGTCATGGTGGACCTCGTGGTGAGGCCCCTTGGATTCGTCCGGCGGGCTAGCGAAGGGATGCGCGCGGCCAGGGCGGAGCCAGGAGGCCGCAGGCCGAGGGGAATAAAAGCGGCGGGGGACGGGGAGCTCCGGGCTGCCGGTTCTGGGAGCGGACTCGCCTCGTCGTCGCCATCGTCGCCCGACCGTTGCGCGGCCGGTAGGGCTGAACGGTGAAATCGATCATCATTAGACCTCCTTTGCCAGTACCAAAATATAAGAATAGGGTTTTCCCCCCCCTTTTTTTCTGGCAACAAAACTAAAAATCTTTTTACAATTGTGTCGAGGCTCAAAAGAAAGCCGTACCTTGGTGTGGACCAATCAGTTTCAAGGACAATGCATCATCATATTATCATAGTGTGTTTTTTTGTTTGCATTTTGACTGCAGGTATTGTGCTTAATGCAGTAAACATGAATCCTTGTAAAAAGGTTTCAGTTTTGTTGCCAGAAAATAAGGGGAAAACCCCTATTATTACATTTTGATACTGGCAAAGGAGGTCTAATGATGTAGATGCTCACCCCGAGCCCTCATTACTTTGATAGTGGCATTGTCTTTGAGCTGTGTGACGCCTTTTGGCATCGTCTGGTCGAGCACCAATTGGGTCGAGGCTCAAAAGAAATCCGTCACTTGGTATGGACCAATCAGTTTCAAGGACAATGCATCATCATATTATCATAGTGTGTTTTTTGTTTACATTTTGACTGCAGGTATTGTGGTTAATGCAGTAAACATGAATCCTCGTAAAAAGGTTTCAGTTTTGTTGCCAGAAAAAAAGGGGAAAAACCCTATTCTTAGATTAAATCGATTTCAAATCGAAATCGCAATTTGAAACAATGCGATGGGAAAAATCTCAAAGGCTGCGATTTTTTTGCGATTTGAAAAGGCCCGTTACCTTCTTATTGCAATTGTTTTTTTTTCATTATTATCACTTCATTTATTTAACTTAACAATTGCTCTACGTTTGAGTGCTCCGTTTCAATTAAAAATGTTTAATAAATACATGTTGGGAGCAATTAATATCTTTTAAGTTATGATCCTTGCATTAGCACATATAGAGCAGTTCACATTTTGATGGCATCACGTGGTAATGCTCCATCATTTCTAGATTTGAAGCTTTCGTGACTACAAGGATCCATGCTCTTTGGTTCTATTCGGTAAAGTCACGTAGGTAAAAAATTAAATAACAAAAAATCACGACGTTTCGGCCACAACACAAGTGGCCTTCATCAGGTGAAGGGACCGTGCTGTCATGAGGACAGCGTTGGAGTGAAAACAGCCAAGCCCAGGTCGCGTCCTTTAAGCTGTGTGGGAGGAAGCAAAGCGCTTTGACAAAGGAATTAGCGTAAAAATGAGCACGATGTACGTAGAAGGTGCATGGGCCATGATGGACCAGGAGCGGGTGGGGACCATGACGGACCAGCAGTGGGGGGGGGGGGGGGGGGGGAGTAGAGTGAGTGCTCCAACATCTATTACACAGTGAATATCGAACTGAAACTTGACTTTGACAAACGAAAAACAATGCAATCGCAAATAAAATCGCAATCGCAATATACTGTACTACGTCACTGATAATGTCGTTACTACGCGGGCTAGAGAGCGTCAGTATAAATGTGTCGTAACCATCCACCACCTGACACAGCCAATTAGTAAGGGATTTGTCACGTAAACAAAGCTCCAAATAGTTATTAGTATAGTGTATAGTGCAGTGTAGTGAATACTGTAGTGTATAGTAGTGTAGTGTATAGTATAGTGTCTAGTAGTGTATAGTGTAGTGTATAGTGTAGTGTATATAGTAGTGTATAGTGTAGTGTATAGTAGTGTGTAGTGTATAGTATAGTGTAGTATAGTGTAGTGTATAGTGTAGTGTATAGTGGAGTGTATAGTGTAGTGTATAGTGTAGTGTATAGTAGTGTATAGTGTAGTGTATAGTGTAGTGTATAGTAGTGTAGTGTATAGTATAGTGTATAGTAGTGTAGTGTATAGCATAGTGTATAGTAGTGGATAGTGTAGTGTATATAGTAGTGTATATAGTAGTGTATAGTGCAGTGTATAGTAGTGTATAGTGTAGTGTATAGTAGTGTAGTGTATAGTAGTGTAGTGTATAGTGTAGTGTATAGTAGTGTATAGTGTAGTGTATAGTAGTGTATAGTGTAGTGTATAATAGTGTACAGTGTAGTGTATAGTGTAGTGTATAGTAGTATAATGTAGTGTATAGTGTAGTGTATAGTAGTGTACAGTGTAGTGTATAGTGTAGTGTATAGTAGTATTGTGTAGTGTATAGTGTAATGTATAGTGTAGTGTATAGTAGTGTATAGTGTAGTGTATAGTAGTGTATAGTAGTATAGTGTAGAGTATTCTTTGGGTCTTTCAGTAAAGCCATGTAGATAGAACAACTAATAAAAATAATAACAATATCACGACGTTTCGATCGCAACACAAGCAATCGTCATCAGGTGAAAAATATAGCGGGAGAGCTGCTGGGGTAGGAAAACATTTCTGGTGGGAGCGCCGCTAAGGTAAGGAGTTATAAAGGTTTGAGATGGGTGTAGCCCAAGGGTCAGTGGGCAGGGCTAGAGATGACATTTGCATGTAAATCTAAGATCAGAGAAATCTTGACAAATGAAGTTGTGGGGGTGGCCATTGTATTGTGAGAGATTAGCACGTCAATGGAAGACATTTGCTTGTAAATGTGAGCTCGGAGAGAGCTCGGAACGAGCCATCGCCACGTGGAGGTGGAAGAGGATGGCGGGCCGCCATTTACTAACACAGCTAACGGTGGCTGTGTTAGTGAATGTGACTCAGAGAGTCGAAAATAACTGCCAACATAGGTAGGCAGGGAGGGAACATCACAGGCAGTTATGACCTAAACTGGTTAATAACATCCTTCCGATGATTGCTCAGTTTGTACCCATCATCTCGGTTGAAATTGTGTCTGTGTTTATATATCTGGATGGCTTCATGAACGAATCTTTGCTGATAGCCAGTGGGCTTGCAGAGTACCCTCGCCTTGGCAAAATCAATTTCGTGTGTGCCCACAGCGTTGAAACAATGATCAGCCACGGCTGAGGTATTGGTCCTGCCGTGTTTCAGATCTGCCTTGTGTTCACGAACCCGGTCCGAGACATGTCGCTTAGTTTCCCCAATGTAACTACTGCCGCCGACACAGCTTAGTTTGTAGACACCGGGGTATTGTATGTCAGGGATCACATCCTTCACAGATGGGATCAGATCACGAATTTTACGTATTGTGTTGAATCGAACCTGGATCTGGTGTTTGCTCATTATTTTGGAAGTATTTTTGGTGACCCCATCTGATGTATTTAGGGGTGACTGCGAAATTCAACCCTTTAGCTAGTACCGATTTTAGGCTGTTGGAAATTGGGCTGTTACTCTGATTGATAACAATCTTATATAGTGTAGTGTATAGTAGTGTACTGTATAGTGTGGTGTATAGTGCAGTGTATAGTGTAGTGTATAGCAGTGTAGTATATAGTGTAGTGTATAGTAGTGCCGTGTATAGTGTAGTGTATAGTAATAAAGTGCAGAGTAGTGTAGTGTATAGTAGTGTAGTGTGCAGTGTATAGTTTAGTGTAATGTAAAGAAAAGTGTATAGTGTAGTGTCTAGTGTAGTGGATAGTGTAGTATATAGTAGTGTATTGTGTAATGTATAGTGTAGTGCATAGTGTAGTATATAGTGTAGTGTATAGTAGTGTACTGTATAGTGTAGTGTATAGTGTAGTATATAGCGAAGTGTGTATAGTGTAGTATATAGTGTATAGTGTAGTGTATAGTGTAGTGCATAGTGTAGTGTGTAGTGTGTGTAGTGTTTGTAGTGTATAGTGTAGTGTATAGTGTAGTGTGTAGTGTGTAGTATATAGTGTATAGTGTAGTGTATAGTGTAGTGTATAGTGTAGTGTATAGTATATAGTATATAGTGTAGTGTATAGTGTAGTGTGTAGTAGTGGAAAATGTAGTGTATAGTGTAGTGTATAGTGTAGTCTATAGTGTAGTGTAGTGTATAGTGTAGTATAAAGTGTACAGTGTAGTGTTTAGTGTAGTGTGTAGTAGTGGAAATTGTAGTATATAGTGTATAGTGTGGTGTATAGTGTAGTGCATAATGTAGTATACTATACTACTTCAGCCCACCGGTGTGTTGGAGAGTAAATCCACAACATTTACAATTTCAGTGCCGTGTCGTGTCGCTGGTAATGACATCAACCAGCACCATCGGGGGATTTGCCAGAAGAGTGAAGCCATCCACCTGCTTCCTGTGTTAAAAAGAGCAGCAGCAGGACGACATCATCACGAAGTGTTGAGTCTATGGTGCAGTGTTGAGTCTATGGTGCAGTGTTGAGTCTATGGTGCAGTGTTGAGTCTATGGTGCAGTGTTGAGTCTATGGTGCAGTGTTGAGTCTATGGTGCAGTGTTGAGTCTATGGGCAGTGTTGAGTCTATAGGCAGTGTTGAGTCTATGGTGCAGTGTTAAGTCTATGGTGCAGTGTTAAGTCTATGGTGCAGTGTTGAGTCTATGGTGCAGTGTTAAGTCTATGGTGCAGTGTTGAGTCTATGGGCAGTGTTGAGTCTATGGGCAGAGTTGAGTCTATGGTGCAGTGTTGAGTCAATTGTGCAGTGTTAAGTCTATGGGCAGTGTTGAGTCTATAGGCAGTGTTGAGTCTATCGTGCAGTGTTAAGTCTATGGTGCAGTGTTAAGTCTATGGTGCAGTGTTGAGTCTATGGTGCAGTGTTGAGTCTATGGTGCAGTGTTGAGTCGATGGTGAAGTGTTGAGTCTATAGGCAGTGTTGAGTCTATGGTGCAGTGTTTAGTCTATGGTGCAGTATTGAGTCTATGGTGCAGTATTGAGTCTATGATGCAATGTTGAGTCTATGGTGCAGTGTTGAGTCTATGGGGCAGTGTTGAGTCTATGGTGCAGTGTTGAGTCTATGATGCAGTGTTGAGTCTATGATGGAGTGTTGAGTCTATGGTGCAGTGTTGAGTCTATGGTGCAGTGTTGAGTCTATGGTGCAGTGTTGAGTCTATGGTGCAGTGTTGAGTCTATGATGCAGTGCTGAGTCTATGGTGCAGTGTTGAGTCTATGGTGCAGTGTTGAGTCTATGGTGCAGTGTTGAGTCTATGGTGCAGTGTTGAGACTATGGTGCAGTGTTGAGTCGAGGTGCAGTGTTGAGTCTATGGGCAGTGGTGAGTCTATGGTGCAAGTGTTGAGTCTAAAGGCAGTGTTGAGTCTATGGTGCAGTGTTGAGTCTATAGGCAGTGTTGAGTCTATGGTGCAGTGTTGAATCTATGGTGGAGTTGTGAGTCTATGGGCAGTGTTGAGTCTATGCTGCAGTGTTGAATCTATGGTGCAGTGATGAGTCTATAGGCAGTGTTGAGTCTATGGTGCAGTGTTGAGTCTATGGTGCAGTGTTGAGTCTATGGGGCAGTGCTGAGTCTATGGTGCAGTGTTGAGACTATGGGCAGTGTTGAGTCGATGGTGCAGTGTTGAGTCTATGGTGCAGTGTTGAGTCTATGATGCAGTGTTGAGTCTATGGTGCAGTGTTGAGTCTATGGTGCAGTGTTGAGTCTATGGTGCAGTGTTGAGTCTATGGTGGAGTGTTGAGTCTATAGGCAGTGTTGAGTCGATGGTGCAGTGTTGAGTCTATGGTGCAGTGTTGAGTCTATGGCATTATTGAGTCTATGGTGAAGTGTTGAGTCTATAGGCAGTGTTGAGTATATGTGGCAATGTTGAGTCTATGGTGCAGTGTTGAGTCTATGGTGCAGTGTTGAGTCTATGATGGAGTGTTGAGTCTATGGTGCAGTGTTGAGTCGATGGTGCAGTGTTGAGTCGATGGTGCAGTGTTGAGTCTATGGTGCAGTGTTGAGTCTATGGGCAGTGGTGAGTCTATGGTGCAGTGTTGAGTCTATAGGCAGTGTTGAGTCTATGGTGCAGTGTTGAGTCTATAGGCAGTGTTGAGTCTATGGTGCAGTGTTGAATCTATGGTGCAGTTTTGAGTCTATGGGCAGTGTTGAGTCTATAGGCAGTGTTGAGTCTATGGTACAGTGTTGAGTCTATGGTGCAGTGTTGAGTCTATGGGCAGTGGTGAGTCTATGGTGCAGTGTTGAGTCTATAGGCAGTGTTGAGTCTATGGTGCAGTGTTGAGTCTATAGGCAGTGTTGAGTCTATGGTGCAGTGTTGAATCTATGGTGCAGTTTTGAGTCTATGGGCAGTGTTGAGTCTATAGGCAGTGTTGAGTCTATGGTACAGTGTTGAGTCTATGGTGCAGTGTTGAGTCTATGGGGCAGTGCTGAGTCTATGGTGCACTGTTGAGACTATGGGCAGTGTTTGAGTCGATGGTGCAGTGTTGAGTCTATGGTGCAGTGTTGAGTCTATGGTGCAGTGTTGAGTCTATGGTGCAGTGTTGAGTCTATAGGCAGTGTTGAGTCTATGGTGCAGTGTTGAGTCTATGGTGCAGTGTTGAGTCTATAGGCAGTGTTGAAACTATGGTGCAGTGTTGCGTCTATAGGCAGTGTTGAGTCTATGGGGCAGTGTTGAGTCTATGGTGCAGTGTTGAGTCTATGATGCAGTGCTGAGTCTATGGTGCAGTGTTGAGTCTATGGTGTAGTGCTGAGTCTATGGTGCAGTGTTGAGTCTATGGTGCAGTGTTGAGACTATGGTGCAGTGTTCAGTCGATGGTGCAGTGTTGAGTCTATGGTGCAGTGTTGAGTCTATGGGCAGTGGTGAGTCTATGGTGCAGTGTTGAGTCTATAGGCAGTGTTGAGTCTATAGGCAGTGTTGAGTCTATTGTGCAGTGTTGAGTCTATGGGCAGTGCTGAGTCTATGGTGCAGTGTTGAGTCTATGGTGCAGTGTTGAGTCTATAGGCAGTGTTGAGTTTATGGTGCAGTACTGAGTCTATAGGCAGTGTTAAGTCTATGGTGCAGTGTTGAGTCTATAGGCAGTGTTGAGTCTAAGGTGCAGTGTTGAGTCTATGATGCAGTGTTGAGTCGATGGTGCAGTGTTGAGTCTATGGTGGAGTGTTGAATCTATGGTGCATTGTTGAGTCTATGGGCAGTGCTGAGTCTATGGTGGAGTGTTGAGTCAATTGTGGAGTACTGAGTATATGGTGCAGTGTTGAGTCTGTAGGCAGTGTTGAGTCTATAGGCAGTGTTGAGTCTATGGTGCAGTGTTGAGTCTATGGTGCAGCGTTGAGTCTATGGGCAGTGTTGAGTCTATGGTGGAGTGTTGAGTCAATTGTGCAGTGTTGAGTCTATGGTGCAGTGTTGAGTCTATAGGCAGTGTTGAGTCTATAGGCAGTGTTGAGTCTATGGTGCAGTGTTGAGTCTATGGTGCAGTGTTGAGTCGATGGTGCAGTGTTGAGTCTATGGTGCAGTGTTGAATCTATGGTGCAGCGTTGAGTCTATAGGCAGTGTTGAGTCTATGGTGCAGTATTGAGTCTATAGGCAGTGTTGAGTCTATGGTGCAGTGTTGAGTCTATAGGCAGGGTTGAGTCTATGGTGCAGTGTTGAGTCTATAGGCAGTGTTGAGTCTATGGTGCAGTGTTGAGTCTATGGTGCAGTCTTGAGTCTATGGGCGGTGTTGAGTCTATGGTGCAGTGTTGAGTCTATGGTGCAGTGTTGAGTCGATGGTGCAGTGTTGAGTCTATGATGGAGTGTTGAATCTATGGTGCAGTGTTGAGTCAAAAGGCAGTGTTGAGTCTATGGTGCAGTGATGAGTCTATGGTCCAGTGTTGAGTCTATGGTGCAGTGTTGATTCTATGATGCAGTGTTGAGTCGATGGTGCAGTGTTGAGTCAATTGTGGAGTGTTGAGTCTATGGTGCAGTGTTGAGTCAAAAGGCAGTGTTGAGTCTATGGTGCAGTGATGAGTCTATGGTCCAGTGTTGAGTCTATGGTGCAGTGTTGAGTCTATGATGCAGTGTTGAGTCGATGGTGCAGTGTTGAGTCTATGGTGCAGTGTTGAGTCTATGGTGCAGTGTTGAGTCTATGGTGCAGTGTTGAGTCTATGGCAGTATTGAGTCTATGGTGCAGTGTTGAGTCTATAGGCAGTGTTGAGTCTATGGGGCAGTGTTGCGTCTATGGTGCAGTGTTGAGTCTATGGTGCAGAAATGAGTCTATGGTGCAGTGTTGAGTCTATGATGCAGTGTTGAGTCTATTGTGCAGTGTTGAGTCGATGGTGCAGTGTTGAGTCTATGGTGGAGTGTTGAAACTATGGGCAGTGGTGAGTCTATGGTGCAGTGTTGAGTCAATAGGCAGTGTTGAGTCTATGGTGCAGTGTTGAGTCTATAGGCAGTGTTGAGTCTATTGTGCAGTGTTGAGTATATGGTGCAGTGCTGAGTCTATGGTGCAGTGTTGAGTCTATGGTGCAGTGTTGAGTCTATAGGCAGTGTTGAGTCTATGGTGCAGTGTTGAGTCTATGGTGCAGTGTTGAGTCTATGGTGCAGTGTTGAGTGTATGGTGCAGTGTTGAGTCTATGGTGCAGTGTTGAGTCTATAGGCAGTGTTGAGTCAATTGTGGAGTGTTGAGTCTATGGTGCAGTGTTGAGTCTATAGGCAGTGTTGAGTCTATGGTGCAGTGTTGAGTCTATAGGCAGTGTTGAGTCTATGGTGCAGTCTTGAGTCTATGGGCGGTGTTGTGTCTATGGTTCAGTGCTGAGTCTATAGTCAGTGTTGAGTCTATGGCAGTATTGAGTCTATGGTGCAGTGTTGAGTCTATAGGCAGTGTTGAGTCTATGGTGCAGTGTTGAGTCTATGGTGCAGTGTTGAGTCTACGATGCAGTGTTGAGTCTATGGGCAGTGTTGAGTCTATGGGCAGTGTTGAGTTTGGGTTAGATCACGTAAGTATGAATGTTGTCTCGTAAACCTCCACCACCCGACACGGCCAATTGGAAAGGTATTTGTCACGTAAACAAAACGCGCCAATTAGCTACTAGTATAGTGTAGTGTATAGTGTAGTGTATAGTGCAGTGTATCGTGCAGTGTACAGTGCAGCGTATAGTGTAGTGTGTGTAGTGTAGTGTATAGTGTACAGTATAGTGTATAGTGTAGTGTATAGTGTAGTGTAGTGGGTAGTGTAGTTTGTAGTGTAGTCTTCAGTGTAGTGTATAGTGTAGTGTGTAGTGTATAGTGTAGTGTATAGTGTAGTGTGTAGTGTATATGTAGTGTATAGTGCAGTGTATTGTATAGTGTAGTGTATAGTGTGTAGTGTAGTGTATAGTGTAGTGTATAGTGTAGTGTATAGTGTAGTGTATAGTGTAGTGTATAGTGTAGTGTGTAGTATAGTGTATAGTGTCGTGTACAGTGTATAGTGTAGTGTGTAGTGTATAGTGTAGTGTATAGTGTAGTGTGGTGTGTATAGTGTATTGTATAGTGTAGTGTATAGTGTAGTGTGTAGTGTATAGTGTAGTGTATAGTGTAGTGTATAGTGTAGTGTAGTGTATAGTGTATTGTATAGTGTATTGTATAGTGTAGTGTATAGTGTAATGTGTAGTGTATAGTAGTGTATAGTGGTAGTGTATTGTATAGTGGTAGTGTATAGTGTAGTTTATAGTGTAGCGTGGTGTGTAGTGTACAGTGTAGTGTATAGTGTAGTGTGTGTAGTGTAGTGTATAGTGTAGTGTGTAGTGCATAGTGTAGTGTGTAGTGTAGTGTAGTATGTAGTGTAGTGTGTAGTGTAGTGTAGTATTTAGTGCAGTGTAGTGTATAGTGTAGTGTATAGTGTAGTGTGTAGTATAGTGTATAGTGTACTAGTATAGTGTATAGTGTACTAGTATAGTGTATAGTGTAATTTACTAGTGTAGTGTATAAAGTATTGTATAGTGTATAGTGTAGTGTGTAGGGTAGTGTGTAGTATAGTGTATAGTGTACTAGTGTAGTGTATAAAGAAGTGTATAGTGTAGTGTATAGTGAAGTGTATAGTGTAGTGTATAGTGAAGTGTATAGTGTAGTGTATAGTGTAGTGTAGTGTTGCTTAGTGTGTAGTGTAGTGTATAGTGAAGTGTAGTGTATAGTGTAGTGTGCAGTTTATAGTGTAGTGTACAGTGGTAGCGTATAGTGGTAGTGTATAGTGTAGTGTATAGTGTAGTGTATAGTGGTAGTGAAAAGTGTAGTGTGTAGTGTGTAGTGTAGTGTATAGTGTAATGTGTAGTGTATAGTAGTGTATAGTGTAGTGTATTGTATAGTGTAGTGTATAGTGTAGTGTATAGTGGTAGTGTATAGTGTAGTGTATAGTGTAGTGTGTAGTGTATAGTGATAGTGTATAGTGTAGTGTATAGTGTAGTGTATAGTGTAATGTGTAGTGTATAGTGTAGTGTATAGTGTAATGTGTAGTGTATAGTAGTGTATAGTGGTAGTGTATTGTATAGTGGTAGTGTATAGTGTAGTGTATAGTGTAGTGTATAGTGGTAGTGTATAGTGTAGTGTATAGTGTAGTGTATAGTAGTAGTGTATAGTGTAGTGTATAGTGTAGTGTATAGTGTAATGTGTAGTGTATAGTAGTGTATAGTGTAGTGTATAGTGTAATGTGTAGTGTATAGTAGTGTATAGTGGTAGTGTATTGTATAGTGGTAGTGTATAGTGTAGTGTATAGTGTAGTGTATGGTGGTAGTGTATAGTGTAGTGTATAGTGTAGTGTATAGTGGTAGTGTATAGTGTAGTGTATAGTGTAGTGTATAGTGTAGTGTGCAGTTTATAGTGTAGTGTATAGTGTAGTGTATAGTGGTAGTGAAAAGTGTAGTGTGTAGTGTATAGTGTAGTGTATAGTGTAATGTGTAGTGTATAGTAGTGTATAGTGTAGTGTATAGTGGTAGTGAAAAGTGTAGTGTGTAGTGTATAGTGTAGTGTATAGTGTAATGTGTAGTGTATAGTAGTGTATAGTGTAGTGTATTGTATAGTGGTAGTGTATAGTGTAGTGTATAGTAGTGTATTGTATAGTGGTAGTGTATAGTGTAGTGTATAGTGTAGTGTATAGTGGTAGTGTATAGTGTAGTGTATAGTGTAGTGTGTAGTGTATAGTGGTAGTGTATAGTGTAATGTGTAGTGTATAGTAGTGTATAGTGGTAGTGTATTGTATAGTGGTAGTGTATAGTGTAGTGTATAGTGTAGTGTATAGTGGTAGTGTATAGTGTAGTGTATAGTGTAGTGTGTAGTGTATAGTGGTAGTGTATAGTGTAGTGTATAGTGTAATGTGTAGTGTATAGTAGTGTATAGTGTAGTGTATAGTGTAATGTGTAGTGTATAGTAGTGTATAGTGGTAGTGTATTGTATAGTGGTAGTGCATAGTGTAGTGTATAGTGTAGTGTATAGTGGTAGTGTATAGTGTAGTGTATAGTGTAGTGTGTAGTGTATAGTGTAGTGTGCAGTTTATAGTGTGGTGTATAGTGGTAGTGTATAGTGTAGTGTATAGTGTAGTGTATAGTGGTAGTGAAAAGTGTAGTGTGTAGTGTATAGTGTAGTGTATAGTGTAATGTGTAGTGTATAGTAGTGTATAATGTAGTGTATAGTGTAGTGTATAGTGGTAGTGAAAAGTGTAGTGTGTAGTGTATAGTGTAGTGTATAGTGTAATGTGTAGTGTATAGTAGTGTATAGTGTAGTGTATTGTATAGTGGTAGTGTATAGTGTAGTGTATAGTGCAATGTGTAGTGTATAGTAGTGTATAGTGGTAGTGTATAGTGTAGTGTATAGTGTAGTGTATAGTGGTAGTGTATAGTGTAGTGTATAGTGTAGTGTGTAGTGTATAGTGGTAGTGTATAGTGTAGTGTATAGTGTAATGTGTAGTGTATAGTAGTGTATAGTGGTAGTGTATTGTATAGTGGTAGTGTATCGTATAGTGGTAGTGTATAGTGTAGTGCATAGTGTGGTGTATAGTGTAGTGTATAGTAGTGTAGTGTATAGTGTAGTGTATAGTGTAGTAGTGTGTAGTGTAGTGTATAGTGTAGTGTATAGTGTAGTGTATAGTGTAGTAGTGTGTAGTGTAGTGTATAGTGTAGTGTGTAGTGTAGTGTATAGTGTAGTGTATAGTGTAGTAGTGTATAGTGTAGTGTATAGTGTAGTAGTGTGTAGTGTAGTGTATAGTGTAGTAGTGTATAGTGTAGTAGTGTATAGTGTAGTGTATAGTGTAGTAGTGTAAAGTGTAGTGTATAGTGTAGTAGTGTATAGTGTAGTGTATAGTGTAGTGTATAGTGTAGTAATTTATAATGTAGTGTATAGTGTAGTGTATAGTGTAGTGTATAGTGTAGTGTATAGTGTAGTAGTGTATAGTGTAGTGTATAGTGTAGTGTATAGTGCACTGGGCTGCAGTAGTAACTATTTGCCGCTTTGTTAACGTTACAAATCCCTTACCAATGGGCTGTGGTGGAGGGCTTAGACACATTTCTACTTCCCAGATCTCACCCAAAAACCTTTACTATGAAAACCAGGACTTCTGTTAAGATGTTCAAACATCAATGAGATGGTGCATCGTGCAGGGAACTCAGAACTACATTGACCACACACACACACAGAGCACACTGCAAACAAACATTAACACAATCCATGGCATTGCCCTACAAACCCACTGATCTGCAAGGGGCAAGCCTCGTTTATGGGTTCAAGAGAGCGACTTTAAACGTCGGACATTCTCCTCCTTCCTCACCTCGATCAGAGCGAGGCGAGAGAAGCGTTCCAGCGGGCGGTCTCCCCCATTCCTTTGAGTTCGGTGGTGGTGGTTGTGGTTGGTGGTGGTGGCACGAATAGTTTGCGTTATGTGTGTTGTTGTTGTTGTGTGTGTGTGTGACAACAGTTCTTATTAGTCGTTTTAAAAAAAAAGTTAGCGACGAAACGCTTCGGTCGACGGGCAAGTTTTATTTTCTTAAAAATGTGTATGCAACTTTGTGCGCGCGCGCGTTGAGGTCTTTGTGCGAACTTTTAAATAGTAGTAGTAATAATTAGATAAATAAATGCGCCCCCCGACATTCCTTACTTTCTCACCCCCACCCGTCGATTCCCTTCCTTTTGGTTTTATGTCAAGCAGGAATCGATTATTTAGAGTTGCCCACCCAGTAAAGTCTGCCGGCAATTTATTTAAATAAATATATATAAAAACCTCCAACAAATACTTCTTTGCCCCTACAATTTAAACGTGGCGATGTTGAAGAATCCTTTCAAAAAATATATTAAATACTGTTTTTTTAAATAATTTTGATTTACTGGATCGAATCCATCGATTTCAGAGGCGTGTTTCTTTCTAACTAACTTCGAATCGATTCCGGGCGAGCGCCGAGCGTGGTGACGTCGACGCGTAGCCGTGCGCGTGACGTCACGACGCCGAGTCGGACACCGGTCGTGACGTCGCCACGCAAGCAACGCGCGCGCATGACGTAATGACGTACGCATTTGTGCGAGACGTCATTGCGTATTCTGGGAGGGGGGGGGTGAATGCGGCATTCGCGGACGTCGACCGATGCGCGATGACGTCACGACGCACGGATACGGGGTGACGTCAGCGCGTAGCCGTGCGTCACGCGTCACTGACCTCTTCAAATGATAATTCACTATGCGACGCGATTTTTGCCCCCGGTTAGTAAGTGTTAATTTTCTAATTGCTCATGCCTCAAAAGGTATAGAAAGTGGCCATCATTCTCCCACCAAAGCTTTGCCTATGTGACCACGACTTCCTCTACGTGAAGGAATGGCACAAATGCACCACCATGGTTTTCTCGTTGAAAAATCGGTCGGTTTCAAGATAGGTAGATTTAGAAATAAAGATTTCGAAATATCACTGTCCTGGTCACAAGTTTGTGGGAAATTATAGCCACTTTCTGTACCTTTTGAGGCATGATCAATTAGAAAATGACATCTTCTATGGTTATTTCGGTAAAGTCACCACCACGTAGAATGATAATTAAATAATAAATTGATAAAATAACAACCCAATAAAATTCTCACGACGTTTCGGCCACAACACAAGCGGCCTTCATCAGGTGAAGGTCTCCAGCGCTGTCCTCCAGACAGTCTCGTCCCTTCACCTGATGAAGGCCGCTTGTGTTGTGGCCGAAACGTCGTGAGAATTTTATTGTGTTATTTTATTTTATCAATTTATTATTTTATTCTCATTCTACGTGGTGGTGACTTTAACGAAAGAACCAAAGAAGATGAATCCTTGCAGTCACGAAAGCTTTAAATCGAAATACAAAATAACACTTACTACCCAAGGAACAATTTATTTTTTAATGTTGTTACGCAGTTAAATTGGAAAGCTTTCGGGCGAGATTTAAACCAAAGCCCGTCAATGAATGAGAACGCTCTGATGCCTCTGGGCAGGTTAACAATTATTCTCGGCGAAAACAATTGTTCTTTGCGGACGGCTGAGTTTGTTGTTTGTATGTGTGTTGGATGATTTGTTTAACTTTCTTCTAACTTTGCACTAATATCATGGACTTGTTTGTATTGATTGGGTTTTTTTTCGGTAAAGTCACGTAGATAGGGAAACAATAAAATGATAAAAACATAAAACTAAAACAATTATATTTTTAGTATTTTATTGTTTCCCTATCTACGTGGCGGTGACTTTACCGAAAGAACCAAGAATATGAATCCCTGCGTTCACGAAAGCTTTAAATCGATTGCCACCTATGTAGAAATAAAATAACATTCAAATACAAATAAGTTTGAATAAATCACGACGTTTCGAACGCAACGCAAGCGATCATCATCAGGTGTAAAACAAAGAGCGAGGGAACACACAGAGAGGAGGGACATCATAGCACATAGCGAAACGTTCAACTGCACGGAGGCAAACACAACAAGACGATGAGAGACGAGAAACTCAACAAACCTGAGTAAAATAACACGATGCAAAACCAGTCGGCCAACAACACAGTCAGACACTGACCTGGTTGTCCACGTGTTTCAGAAGACCGCTAAATGTCGTGATAATGTAGTTACTACACCACTGATAATAGTCACTACACCACTGATAATGTAGTTACTACGTCACTGATAATGTAGTCACTACACCACTGATGATGTAGTTACTACACCACTGATAATGTAGTTACTACACCACTGATGATGTAGTTACTACACCACTGATGATGTAGTTACTACACCACTGATAATGTAGTTACTACACTACTGATAATGTAGTTACTACACCACTGATGATGTAGTCACTACACCACTGATAATGTAGTTACTACACCACTGATAATGTAGTTACTACACCACTGATAATAGTCACTACACCACTGATAATGTAGTTACTACGTCACTGATAATGTAGTCACTACACCACTGATGATGTAGTTACTACACCACTGATAATGTAGTTACTACACCACTGATGATGTAGTTACTACACCACTGAAGATGTAGTTACTACACCACTGATAATATAGTTACTACACTACTGATAATGTAGTTACTACACCACTGATAATGTAGTTACTACACCACTGATGATGTAGTTACTACACCACTGATAATGTAGTTACTACACCACTGATAATGTAGTTACTACACTACTGATAATGTAGTTACTACACCACTGATAATGTAGTTACTACACCACTGATAATGTAGTTACTACACCACTGATGATGTAGTTACTACACCACTGATGATGTAGTTACTACACTACTGATAATGTAGTTACTACACCACTGATAATGTAGTTACTACACCACTGATAATGTAGTTACTACACCACTGATGATGTAGTTACTACACCACTTATAATGTAGTTACTACACTACTGATAATGTAGTTACTACACCACTGATAATGTAGTTACTACACCACTGATAATGTAGTTACTACACCACTGATGATGTAGTTACTGCACTAGTGATAATGTAGTTACTACACCACTGATGATGTAGTTACTACACTACTGATAATGTAGTTACTACACCACTGATAATGTAGTTACTACACCACTGATAATGTAGTTACTACACCACTGATAATGTAGTCACTACACCACTGATAATGTAGTTACTACACCACTGATAATGTAGTAACTACGCCACTGATGATGAAGTTACACCACTGATAATGTAGTTACTACGTCACTGATAATAGTCACTACACCACTGATAATGTAGTCACTACACCACTGATAGTGTAGTTCCTACACCACTGATAATGTAGTTACTACACCACTGATAATGTAGTCACTACACCACTGATAATGTAGTTACTACGCCACTGATAATGTAGTTACTACACCACTGATAATGTAGTTACTACACCACTGATAATGTAGTTAATACGTCACTGATAATGTCGTTACTACACTACTGATAATGTAGTTACTACACCACTGATGATGTAGTTACTACACCACTGATAATGTAGTTACTACACTACTGATAATGTAGTTACTACACCACTGATGATGTAGTTACTACACTACTGATAATGTAGTTACTACACCACTGATAATGTAGTTACTACACCACTGATAATGTAGTTACTACACCACTGATAATGTAGTCACTACACCACTGATAATGTAGTTACAACACCACTGATAATGTAGTAACTACACCACTGATAATGTAGTTACTACGTCACTGATAATGTCGTTACTACACTACTGATAATGTAGTTACTACACCACTGATGATGTAGTTACTACACCACTGATAATAGTCACTACACCACTGATAATGTAGTTACTACGTCACTGATAATGACGTTACTACACTACTGATAATGTAGTTACTACACCACTGATGATGTAGTTACTACACTACTGATAATGTAGTTACTACACCACTGATAATGTAGTTACTACACTACTGATAATGTAGTTACTACACCACTGATAATGTAGTCACTACACCACTGATAATGTAGTCACTACACCACTGATAATGTAGTTACTACACCACTGTTAATGTAGTTACTACGCCACTGATAATGTAGTTACTACGTCACTGATAATAGTCACTACACCACTGATAATGTAGTTCCTACACCACTGATAATGTAGTTACTACACCACTGATGATGTAGTTACTACACTACTGATAATGTAGTTACTACACCACTGATGATGTAGTTACTACACTACTGATAATGTAGTTACTATTCCACTGATAATGTAGTTACTACACCACTGATAATGTAGTTACTACACCACTGATAATGTAGTTACTACACCACTGATAATGTAGTTACTACACCACTGATAATGTCGTTACTACACCACTGATGATGTAGTTACTACACTACTGATAATGTAGTTACTACACCACTGATAATGTAGTTACTACACTACTGATAATGTAGTTACTATACCACTGATAATGTAGTTACTACACCACTGATAATGTAGTTACTACACCACTGATGATGTAGTTACTACACTACTGATAATGTAGTTAATACACCACTGATAATGTAGTTACTACACCACTGATAATGTAGTTACTACACCACTGATAATGTAGTCACTACACCACTGATAATGTAGTTACTACACCACTGATAATGTAGTAACTACGCCACTGATGATGTAGTTACACCACTGATAATGTAGTTACTACGTCACTGATAATAGTCACTACACCACTGATAATGTAGTCACTACACCACTGATAGTGTAGTTCCTACACCACTGATAATGTAGTTACTACACCACTGATAATGTAGTCACTACACCACTGATAATGTAGTTACTACGCCACTGATAATGTAGTTACTACACCACTGATAATGTAGTTACTACACCGCTGATAATGTAGTTACTACGTCACTGATAATGTCGTTACTACACTACTGATAATGTAGTTACTACACCACTGATGATGTAGTTACTACACTACTGATAATGTAGTTACTACACCACTGATGATGTAGTTACTACACTACTGATAATGTAGTTACTACACCACTGATAATGTAGTTACTACACCACTGATAATGTAGTTACTACACCACTGATAATGTAGTCACTACACCACTGATAATGTAGTTACTACACCACTGATAATGTAGTTACTACACCACTGAT